AGGGGACCATTATAAAATAAAGAGACAGCTCAAACAATTGATAATTCGCCCCAATAGACATGCAAAAGAATGTAATTCAAGAAGCTAAGCATTGCTGTAAAACAATGCAAGGCGATTCGTAGCAAGCAAAGACCAATAGGTGCAAAACAGATTACATACCCTTATAAAATAAAGAAACAAAGACAAACAGTCGATAATTCGACGGCGCCGGGAGTTGGTTCACCGTTCGTTCCGTGCAGTATATCGTTACAATCTGGAGAACGAAAGTCACGGTCGTCGAGGCGCAACTCCAGCTAGAGAGAGTCGGAGACGACCGATCGAATCTGCACGGTCATCGTCGGTAGCATGGCGAACCTCTGGGAAGTGCAGCGATGGAGCGAGAGGGACATGCTCGCGGGGATCGTGACTTGCGAGAGGGCCTTGTCTTCTCTTGTCTCCTTGTTACACGACTCCTGTCGGTTTCGGTAGTTTTCGAGGGTGTGAGGCTCCTTTATCACGCACGACCCCCCGCTGTTGTCACGCGATCTTATCGACCCTGCTCGAGCGGATCCTCGTCGATTCGATAAGGTTCGTTATTTTTCACTCTCCAAGTTCATTTACCGAAACGTTCAAGAAATCACCCGCAACAAAGCCGTGAACGCGATAATTCTCAACGAGTGTTCGATGCCTAGAAACACGAGTCGTTCTAATCTAATTAAGAGGGGGCAATTATTCCGCGCTGGTTGCAGCTCGTTATCTAGGCGATGTCCGTCTGAGAAACTATTATTCCCCTACGCGGTAAAATCTATAATCAAACTTGCACTATTATCGATAATTATGGATAGTGCTCGACCGATTGAAATTAAGACTCGACAGCGTGGAACGTGGCCAATTAAAGAACGATCAAACCGAGCTGAGAAGAAACCGCGCGCGACTGATAACCTCTAGCCGGGCATCGCTCGATCTTTCGACTCCGGGTGTTATCACGCCGGCCTGGAATTTCAACACCGGGAGTCCAACCGTAAATATAACAATTATCGATTTACGAGCCGGCGGCAATTAACACGATTTTTATGCGTCGCTACTCGCCGCCTCGTTGTGTTATTCCGTCGATTAACGAGCAATTCATAAACCGTTATCGTCGAAGGAAAGACGGTTGCTCTATCGCCGCTGGTATCTCGTAATATGCGCAACAATTCGTTGCAATTCGACCGAGTGTTTCTCTTCCACGCGATATTCCGCGAACAAATTATACTGCCTGTCCGAGGAACTCGTTATTCGTGATTATTGCAGGCCAAGTTTCTTTGTAAATAATTATTTCACTGTTCGACCGCGGGGGGGGGAGGGTTAGATGAAATTGTTTTTAACCCTTTCCCCCTGAACCTAGCTCGTAACAAAATGTGCATCGAGGGACACGTTTTCGACAGGAATTCCTCATCGAAGAGAACAGCCGAGTGCAAAGGGTTAACTTTCGATGTGAGAGGTCTCTGTTTCTAAAGACCCAGTTTTTCACTTTGTTTGTACTTACTTCAACGTTACGTCGTTGGAAATTTCTAATTTCAACGATGAACGATTCTTTGGAGGGAGTGTTGCCCAATGGAGTTGCCCCACAGGTGTCGTAAGGAAATGATGCATCAGCCGTATGTTTCTGTACGTCATACCATTTAATAATTACAATTTAAATTATATAATTATACGACCTTACGCGTACGGTGCTCTAGGTTACGTAGATGTAATAAGTAGGTATTTTAGTTAGACTATTACGTATATTACATGGAATGAAGTAACATTTGAGTCTGACGCTACACGAACGTAATACTTGAGCTTAATTTAAAGTGGAGAACGCATCCTTCGCACCTGACGAGTAATATAGCTTCCGTTTACGTTTTAACCCCGTTTATTTCGTCCTCGAACGATGCAGTCGACTCGGTAAACGAAGGAGAAGAACGCGATCTTCCGCGAAAACCCGAAGACCCAAGTTCCTTGACGACGGATTCTTTCCCTTATAGAGCACGAAAAACCGAACTCTGTATTCATAGGTACGGAACGTGTTGTACGACACGCGGCGTGAACAACGAAAAAAAAAAATAATAATAATAATAATAACGAAACAAATAAAATACAATATTAACACTGGACCAAGTCATTAGCAACAGGCTCACTCTCAATAGAATAATAGCGATAATATCAATAATTTCAATAATCATCGTAATAATATTAATAATAATAATTATAATCCTCACTATTGTTTTATTTAAATATCCCTATAGGGTACCAGGCGATAACGAAAGAATTCCCAACGTTGAATTTGCCTTCGACGTGTCGACTAACTCCACCTCCTAATTTACGTCTGGAATATCACATAAAGAAATAATCGCGTACAGCGAGGCCCGTCTCTTCCCTTATCGGCAGTAAAATTGAAAAAAGAATTCGTGTAATCGTTTCGTTCGTTAACGCCTCGTACGATAATAACGTCATTCGATATCGTGTATCATATATTCAATAGCTATGTACAATTCAACATTAGCCTACTCTTGCATCTCTCTTCCCGTCTTGTTCGCTTTCACCTCTTTCTCTCTCCCTTTCTCTCTCTCACACACACACGCTAAATCTCGATAATATACTTTAGATCCCTGTATTCTTCCGAATTTGCTTCGCGTATTGCGCAGTTCACGACACCTTACTAAGCACGGAGCGAACGCTAGCTGCTCTCCTTCAATTAGGTTCTCGTATCGCGCGATATAACCAATTAAACGCGCGCGTGCACACTACCTAAATTCATTTACACACCTGCCGCTTCGTTCGATTAGGTCGCCGAGGGATCCTTCAATTCCCCCTCCCCTTCCTCCTACTCGTGACAGCTGCCCCCTATTTTTTCGCTCGTATCGCGCGTTACGATGCGCAGCCGCGACCAAACTTTCTTCGCAGAGCATCGACGTTCCGCGAGTTTTCTAGGGCTCCCCAAGAGGAAGCCACGCTCTTTTCGAAAAGTTTGGAATACGATAGTAAATATCTTAACCCGTTCCACTCCAGATTTTCAGACTTCGGTGTAGTTCTGTCGAGTCTGACTCGACATAGGACAGCAAAGGGTTAAATTTAAGAAATATTTGCAGATATCGAACTCGAATTTATGTCGATCCGCAACGAAACGCGTTGCTCTAGCGAAGTCGCGTGCGCGATATCCCGAAAACTATCGCTCGTTTCGTTGAGCCGAAGCGTGGGTAGAGTATCGAGAAAATAATAATCAATTCCACTTCGGTCGTCCCCATTTTCCCAATTCCCAGAAGCTGGTTCGACCAAACGAAACGAACGATTTGCATACATGGACTGTTCGGAAACAACGCCGCGGTCGTGTGCCTCGGGGGAACGTGGATTACACGATTATATTTACAGAGAGCCGGCTGATTCCTCAGCTGCCCACCGTTTCCTTCTAAAAACGTCTTCGCAAGAATTCCGTCCATTACACGTATCCGTAACTCGACCCTGTCGCGCGAAGAAGTACAAGAATGAAAAACGCTACATGTCGAGAAGAAAAAATGAAGAAGAGGAACGAAGAGTTGCCGCGTGAAATCGGTATACGTTTCTTCGTCGTAGTGTAACTTTATAGACTCGGGGTAAAGTGACACATATACATTCCCGATTAATTTGGCTTAATGCGTTACGATGCGACGAACGAGCGTTCGCGGCTTGCCGCCATCGTCATCGACCGTTTTCTTACTCTCTAGAAAATACTACGCGCTTCGTCGGCTGTGAGTGGTTTCGGAGTTTCCTACGAGAATTCGCGGGCCTTCGATCCTAACGGACGTTCAAAGATTCAGCAGCCTCTATCGAAAAACGGCAGAGAATAGGTCGAGTATTAATAGGCACCTTACGTACTACGAAGTAGAGACTTTAACGTGCACATAGAAACTACGCTTCCCCGAGGGTGGCTGAGTCGATCGCGAGGTGAAGCCACCCCCGGTGAACACGCTCTGAGAGACAGATCGAACGAGCGAAAGAAGAGGAAGTGGAAGAAGAAACAAGGAATAAGTACATCATCGCATCGTCTGTTCAATTTTTCGTTGGTTTTTCGGGAGTTGGGGATGGTACGTGGGGATGGTATTTTTCTGGGGAGAGGGTGGTGGGGAGTGATTCAGAGATGCGAAACAGTGCGCAGCCAGGCAAGACAATTAATTAATGAGTCGTTCAATTAATTAATCACTTAGACCGCTAATTTCTACGCCTTAAACTACTGATTCGATTTTATCTCACCCGCTGAGGTGGCCTCTCGTCCGCGTTCAACACCGTTATTCGTAATCTAGTCGCGGCGAGAGCCCCTCGGAGCGCGTCCAGTCCATTTAATCGGGCGTACGGCGTGCTTGCAGACAATTTTTGGCTTCCCTTCAACTTCGAGTAGTTCTACAACGTACACGGACCGATGCTGACGGATCACGGAACGTCGCAGCGCTTGGAAACAATGGTCGTTCTATTGAGCCAGTTAAATCTTCGTTAAAAAGTGATTCACTTTCGAGATCGATAACACCGAGGAAAGGACCGCAAGAATCTCCATCATGCTTTCCATCTTAGAAAAACAGGTATTCCAAAAGAAAAGGGTCTGGGTTCGGTGGAAGCAACAAGACTACTCGAAAAATGTCTCAAAACGCGAACGCGTCGTTTCACGGATCTCGGATGGCAAAAAGTTCGAACCCTTTCATCCCGAGCGACGTACTCCTGAACCGGAGGGCAAAAAGAAAAATGAAGGCAAGCAGAGGGACGTACAGATTCCGTTTGACGAGTGACAATCCGTCGAGGCATCGGTGGCCTGTGTCGGAGACCCCGTTGGGTCTCACCACGTGTCCTACTGGAAGTGAAGTGTTTCAGCTCGGCGGGTCACGCGTGACATCGGTGACCCAGCCGCGCCGAAAGCGGAAAAAAGCCTTTTAGAAGTTCTGCTCGCCGTACATCCCGGGGAACCGGACAGCGTGTGCTCCGAGCTCGGCGGGCGAGAACTCGTCCTATGTGGCCAAGTGAGCGAACTGGCCTGGGTGAGGCGCGAACTGGTAAGGGTGGCCGTACGGCGACATGTGATACGGTACAATGTTCATGCTCGCCATCTTGTGCTCCTTTTTCCACTTCATCCGCCGATTCTGGAACCAGATCTTTATCTGACGTTCCGTCAGGCAAAGGGCGTGGGCGATCTCTATGCGACGCCGCCTCGTCAGGTAGCGGTTGAAGTGGAACTCCTTCTCCAGCTCCAGGGTCTGATACCTGGTGTACGATGTCCTCTGTCGCTTCGTCTCGCCGTTCGCGTTCACCGTGCCTGAAAATCGAGGTACTACGTTAGATAACAGAACGTGGACCAGGGCGGTTTTTACAATGAATGCCTCCCATCCAAGGGTTAGGTCTGGGTTAGGTTTTTGTTTTTTTGGTATCTACCAGCAATTCGAGATGGTTTCTTAGCATTCTATTGCCACGAATGTTAATCTTAGATTGACTTTGAAGATGTAGCCCGATTGTCATTTTCTTGACACTTCGAGTTCCAAAGAAATTAAACTAAAGGATGCGCAGGAGCCAGAGCCAAACTCCGAGTTGACTTCAGCTACAGCAGCGAAAAAAGTAGGAATCTGTGGGACAAGGAC